AAGCTCACCCTCTCGAACGCCTTGACCAGGTCGAGGATGGCCGTCACCGTCGCTAGGGTGCGCGGGTCCGAATCCTGCACCTCGTCGCCCTCGTTGGCGAGGAGAACCTCCCAAGCCGCGTCCTCCGCCGCCTTGCCGAAGGCCGTGCAATCCCAAGAGCGCTGGTTCGCCTTGGCCCACTCGATCATGTAGGGCTCCCTCATGATCTCCCACACCCTCACCAGGGTCGGGAGGAGGCCGATGGCACGATCGACCGCTACGCTCTTCGGGATCAGGAAGAAAATGACCGTGGCTGCATGCAGCGGCCAGACGAGCGTGCGCTCCACCTCCCTCAGGATCTGCAGGAGCGTCCAGTGCGCTGCGTCCGAAGCCCCTTGCAGCATGGCGGGGTGCCAGCGGTCCACTCCTTGTGCTGTCTTTTTCTTGAAGGTGCGCGCCACTTTCTTTAACTTGGCCAAGTCGTCCTCTGTGAACTCTGGCAACTCCTGACGCGGCTCCGTCTCCCACCGCCGCTCCTGCTCCTGCATCGGGTCGTTCACCTTCCAGACTGCGTTCCACTCCCCCAGGGCCGCTTCCGCTGCCCGCAACGGGTCTGCCGAAGCTTGGGGTGTACTCGCTCTCCTCGGCCTCCAAATGTCCACTGGTTTGCTGATTCTGTGGAGTCCGCCCGCTGCTCCTTTCGCAGCCTCCTCCAGCTTCGCAGCCCACTGCCTCCTTCTTTCATTTACCAGGGCCTGGTCCTCCCGCTTGGACCGCTCCTTGGCCTCCAGGATCATCACGTCCAGGCTGGCTTTCTGGTCAGCACCTCGCCAGCGCCCTTTCGCCAGCAGGGTACACCTTTCTTTCCACCGCTCCTTCTCCTCGCCGACCAGCTCACACCTGAACTCGTGGCTCACGCTCCTGAAGCGTTCCTCCAGATCACTAGCTATCATGCACCACTCCTGGCGCGCACGGGCACTGCCCGAAGACGACCTGAGCCTCTCGTAGTTCCCCGCCAGGGTCTGCAAAGTGCGCGCGAGCCACCGCCACCACAGAGCGTCTCCTTGCGGGGCTGGGTGGTTGCCGCCTCCTCTGAGGATCGCTCTCTCTTTCCAGCGCGGTGGGTCCGCGCGCCCCGCGCATTCATGCCTGGGGTGCCACTCCAGCCCCCGCAGCGCGAAAGCCTCGCGCTCCAGCTTGCCAATGAAGGAAGCCCAGGTCCTGGTCGCCACCGTCACGTCGCTGAAAACCCCCACCTCGTCGTATAGGGGCGGCTCAGGCGCGCACCCGATGCTGATTCCTTCCAACTTCTTCGGCGTGATGAGAATCCGCTCCTTCCTCTCCTGCGGCCTCAGGTCGAGCGTGACCCCCACCGGCTTGTGCGGCGCCGAAGGCCAAGACTCGTGGATGGCCACCTTCCTCACTTGGCCCGCCAACTCCCTCGATACTACGAAATAGTCTATTGTGGAACATCCACTCGCAGACCGACAAGTTCCGCTCGCGGCAGAGGGGGCCACCAGCGTCGCGCCAATGAGCTTGATCGAATCCAAACCCGCCAGGACGGCAGGGGCATTCTGGAAGTCCCCGCACAACACCCACGGCATGTTGAGCTCGTGCAGCTTCCCCAGCACGTGGTCCATCAGCCCCCTGTTCCGCCGCGACATCTGCTCGGCCGTCCACAGGTACACCGTCGCCACCACGATGCCGCCTCTACCTACTGCTACCCATGCCGCTGCAGCTCTTCCTGGGGATCCTCTGGGGGACCAATCCCAGCTGGTCTGCCCACACACGTACGCCATGCCAATCCTGTTCGGCACAGCGATTCCCACTCCTGCAGAGGTTCCTGGCTCACCCATGGGGCCCAGCGTGGGCACCGCCTCCGCTCCACCAACTTGGTAGCCTCTCTGACGCAAACTGTGAGTAACTCCAGCCCACTGGTCCTCTTCCAGGCGGTGCTCCTGGAAGGCGTAGATGTGCTTCTGCTGCCCCACCTTCTTCTCCAAGAGCTTCTCTCTGATGGTTCCCCATCCCGAGCCGTTGAAGGTCCACACAATGACCACCTGCTTGTCGTCATTCGCCTTGTCAACCAGGAGCCTCATCATGCGGTGGTCGTGCAGGACCCTCGCGTATCCTCGCCACTGGCCCGAGTCTGCACCCTGACTCCTCGCCGTCGCCGCAGGCACGAAGCCGCGCAACGGCCCCGCGGGCGTGGACCTGGCCACACTTCCCGCCCTCAAGACACCGTGCTCACTCCTCGCCAATGCCGCAGGCCGTGGGCCGCGCACAGGCCCCGCGGGCGTGGACCTGGCCACACTTCCCGCCCTCTGGCTGGCTCCCGCTGCTCCGCGCCCGCCACGCTCACCATCCATCTGCACTACGTCACGTCGGTGCCCTTCACTCTCGCTCCCCCCGAACTCCGCCTCCCACCCCTCAGGGTTCCAGCGGCTGTCGTCCCAAGGGAGGGTCTTCCCGCTCTGGCGCAGCTGCACCTGGACCGCGCCTCTCCACGGCGACTCGGGGTAGCCGAGGTGGGTCCCATTGAGCACCAGGAACAAGAGGTCGCACGGCAAGCTACCCTTTCCGCTGCCTCTTGGCCAACTGGCAGGAGTGCACCGACATGAGCACCTCTTGGTACCGCTTGAACAAGTGCGGGTTCTCCTCCTGGTCGGGCACTGGCTCCTGCCCGTTGATCCACTTACGTTCAGTCTCGGTGACACCTGGTGGCAACTCCTCAGCCCCCGCGATGTCTCCCATGGATTCGTCTTCTGGTCCGCCCCCGTCGTCAGCCTGACCAGGCTGCTTAGCAGCACCAGTATCAGCAGCCTCAGCCTTTGCTGCCCCTTCCTTAGCCTTGGCCTCCAGGAGAGACTCGAGCGTGGCGAAATTGAGGCCGAGGGACTGGATGTCACTGCCGACGGACTTGGCGATGCACTCCAACTGCACTCGGATGACGTCGAGGTTCGAGGCTGGGGCCGCTGGGCCCGCCACCGCAATCTTCCCCTGGAGCTCCAGGATCGTGGTCGCCAGCTCCTCCTTGCGCTTCGCAGCCTCATCCCTCTCCTTCTTGACCTCGAGCAGCATCTGGTTGGCCTTCCTCTCGGTCTCGGCCAAGCGCTCAAGCTGCTTGTCGATCTGCCCCAGCTGGACCTGTGCCTCTCGCAGCTGTCCAGACAACGGCTTCGCCTGCGTGCGCTCCGCCTTGGCGTCCTGGATCTGCCTGTCGATGTCGGCCACCGCCTGGTCGAGGTGAGGCGCGTCACCCCCCCAGTCCTTGGCGCACTGGACCAGGACCTTCCTGCGTTCCTCCAGCTTCTGCAAAGCCGTAGGCGCCTTGGCCTCCGCGGCCGCACGCCAAGGCCTGGCCGCCACCGGTGGGAAGGAGGTGCGGAACCACTGCCCCATCTCAGGCGTGGAAGTGACCTTGCCCTTGCCTTTGTACCCAGGGCGACCCGCGCCACAGGCACGGCAGGACGTACGCGTACTCCAGTTCGCACCTGTACCGCATGTCCCGCACGTCCATGAGTCACTCGGGCCCGCCCCCACCCAGGACGAGCCACCGCCTTTGCCTCCGACAGTCCACACCAGAGACGGCTTCTGCTTCTTGTTGCGCCGACCGCCGCCCTTGACCTCCCAGTCGTTCTCGCCGCCCGCCATCGGTGCGCCCCACGCGCCGACACGAGCCCACAAGGGCGCTGGAGGTTGCTGCAGCGGCAGCTCTCGTGAATGCACGGAGGCTGAAAGCCTCCCGAGCACACCATCTTGAGCCAAAATGGCTACGGAAGAGGCCCCAGGAGACTCCCAGGAGGCCCAAAAGAAGCCCCAGAAGGCTTCAAACATGTCTCCCAGGCGCCCCCGAACGGCCTCTCAACAGACCCCAAGAGGCCCCCCAAAGAAGCATCTTGACGACGACTCTATTTCGCCCCATCGAGAGACGACCCCCAGGGAACTGCTTCACCATCAAAACTCCCCACGCAACGCGTCCGAACGACACCCGCCCCCAAGAGCGCAACATGGGCAACGAACACACAGACAAAAACCAGCGATGCCATATCACGGGCCGGCGGAATGAGCGAAGCGATTCAATAATAATTCCCGCATTAGTTTTTGACTATTTTTGAATTTTCCCCCTGTAGAAGGACAGGCCCGACGTAAGACTCGGGACGAAAAACTGGCCCTTGGGAAGTGGTCCAGACATCCAGCGCCCACGCATCGAAAAAAGTGGACCAGCCAGATGTCTGGATGGATCGTGTGCTCACGCACACACACACACAGGTTGTAAGGATGTCTCAAGCGAGGTGTTGGTTTCAGAACTCCAAGGGGGGGGGGGGCGCCAGGAGTGGGGACACTCCAGGATCCGCGCCCAGATGGTGGGGATGTCGCAGGCGGTTTGCCCAACATCCTGTTCTTTCGGAACGGATTGTGAGGATGCTCGGGCGAGGCCACGTTTTTTAGCACACCCAAGGGGGAGCCGCCCGGGGTGGGGACATTCAGGAGTCGCGCCCAGATCGTAGGGAAATCTCGGGCGGTTTGCCTGTCTGGGTGCCCAGCATTTTCAGGAGCGGACTGTGAGGGTGTCGTAGGCAAGGCGCTGGTTTCAGCACGCCCGAAGGGGGCGCACCCAGGGGCGGGGGCATTCCAACACAGATGCTCACAGACCTCGCACGCTCCCTCTAAGCCGCAGGCGGGCGGCCTTCGCTCGCGGTCCAGCCCGCGCGCGCGCGCCCAGTAGTCAGAGCACTCACGCTCACGCGCAGACCACTCAAACTCAAGTGTACACAGACCTCCCACGCGCACCCACGCTCAGACTACGCACATTCGCTCACACGCACGCGCATCTATTCACTCACACGCAGACTCACTCACGCTCAGACTCGTTCACGCTCAGACTCACCTGTCCATATCATACTCAGACCCGTTCATGCTTACTCTCTCCCATGCAGACGCTCGCAGCGGGAAAGGTGTGGGCAAATGGATATGCATAAGGCGGAGCGAGCCCGCGACACGAGAAGCGGCGCCGGCACTCGCTGCAATTGGCGGCCGTGTCCCTGTAGACCAGGCGCCTGGCCAACTCCTGCCGGGGGGGGGCCCGAGCGAGGCTGCGGAACTTCTGAGCATCGTGTAACCCATCCCCCCCTCCTCCTCCTCCGCCTCCTCCTCCTCCTCCTCCTGCTCCTCGTCCTCCTCCTCCTCCTCGTCCTCCTCCTCCTCGACCTCCTCCTTCCCCCCTCCAACTTATGGTGGTGCTGGTGGAAAACAAGCCCATCAGCAACAGCCTCTGGCTGTCTGGGGGAGATCCCCATCCCCAGCGGCGTGGCCTGGGCCCCACTGGCCGATGTACTCCCCTGGATGGGGACATAGGTAGTTCCCTTCGGGCTTCCAGGGGTGCACTCCCAACTGAGGTGGTAATCTGATGGGGGTCTCGAAGGGGATGGGGATGGGGATGGGGATCGGTGAAACGATACCGACCCTCTCCACCCCTTGCCCGCTCTCCCTACAAACGTGAAGAGGTAGTACGTGGCGGATTCCGGAAGTCCTCAACCCACAAATGCGTTTATCTCTTTGTGAACGTTTTTTTTATTCGGCGTTTCGACATTGGGCGGAAGGGGGGGGGAGGGGGGGGGTCTGGCTCCGGACCTCTGCTTAGTGCGACTGTTTGGGACTGTGCGTCCTATGGGGGAGACTCCACCTGCTCGAAACAGGCGCTAAAAACAGCCAAAATCCACTCCATGGGGGGGGATCGGCAAAGCAATGAATCCGCCGGCCCCCTTGTGGGGCCGCCAGGCTGTAGGACGAAGGTTCGCAGTTTCCTGTACCAGTTGCAGCTTCCATTTTCCACTGTTATAGGTCTACTTCTTTCCACTGTTACAGTTCTGCTTCTTGCTGCTTACTGTTCCTTGTGGATGGACCGCGCGAGGGGGGGAGGCCCAAAACTGGCATTTTGACTACGCCCTGAGCGTGTGCTCTGAATTGCTGGGGCGAATAAAAATTGACACCCCTCACGCAGATCGGCGGGGTCAGGGTCCAAAAACATAAGGGATTTGCAACATTTCTGACATTCGGTGGCCCCCCTCACGCAGATCGGCAGGGTCCAAATAACTCAAGGGATTTGCCACATTTCTGAAATCTGCTGGCACCCCTCACGCAGATCCGTTGGGTCAGGGTCTAAAAACACATGGGATTCGCAACATTTCTGACATTCGGTGGCACCCCTCACGCAGATCGGCGGGGTCAGGGTCAAAAAATAAATGGATTTGCCACATTTCTGAAAATCGGTGGCACCCCTTCACACAGATCGGCAGGGTCAGGGTCCCAAAACACAGGGAATTGCTACATTTCTAAAAAGGCGGCACCCCTCACGCAGATCCGTAGGGTCAAGGTCGAAAAACAAACAGGTCCCGACACTGCTTCACGGCGGCACCCAGACCCCATGATTTAGCTCTTGCATCTCCCATTAACCGAGACAGGGGGCCGGCGGCATGGGGCGAAGCCCTTACGGATTAAAAAACAACCACTTGGGGATGCACTGTTTACTTCCGCCACCTTCCACCGCCCTTCCGCCGGGTTCCGCCGGCGGAAGCGGCCTCGTTTTACCTCCGCCGACCTTCCTGCCGCCCTTCCGCCGCCTTCCGCCGAGGAAGGCGCGGCCCTTTAACTGGAGAGCCCCACGTGGTAGAGAAGGAGAGAAGGAAGAGGGCGAGGACGATTAGCCAGGAGGGGCAGGATCCGCCCGTGGAGGACGAGAAGTAATCCGCCGGCCCCCTTGCGGGGCCATCAGGCTGCGAGGCTTAGGCTTTCTGCTTTCTACTTCCTACTGTAAATTGTTACAGTCCGCGCGAGGGGGAGGGGAGCCGAAAACTGCCCTGGTTAACGTTCCCCGGGAGGGTTCTCAGAATTCCTGGGAGGGTAAAAATTGACACCCCTCACGCAGATCGGCGGGGTCAGGGTCCAAAAACAAAAGGGATTTGCCACATTTCTGACATTCGGTGGCACCCCTCACGCAGATCGGCGGGGTCAGGGTCCGAAAACAATTTGGATTTGCCACATTTCTGAAATTCGGTGCACCCCTCATGCAGATCGGCGGGGTCAGGGTCCAAAAAACACAAAAGGGATTTGCCACATTTCTACATTCGGTGGCCTCCCTCACGCAGATCGGCGGGGTCAGGGTCCAAAAACACATGGGATTTGCCACATTCCTGAAATTAGGTGGCACCCCTCACGCAGATCGGCGGGGTCAGGTTAAAAATATATATGAATTTGCTACATTTCTGAAGTTTCCTGGCACCCCTCACGCAGATCGGCGGGGTCAGGGTCCAAAAACATATGAGATTTGCTACATTTCTGACATTTGCTGGCACCCCTCACGCAGATCGGCGGGGTCAGGGTAAAACGCATAGGATTTGCCACATTTCAAAAATTTGCTGGCACCCCTCACGCAGATCGGCGGGGTCAGGGTCAAAAAACACAAGGGATTTGCCGCATGCTTTAAATTCGGTGGCACCCCTCACGCAGATCGGCGGGGTC